TTCATGTACAGTGTGTACAGTAAAATCTGGAAAAAAACCAAGTCTTGAAAAGACGGGTTTCTTTTCAAGGCTAATTTCGCAATAAAGAGGGCGGGGCAGGTGCCTTCAATTCGAGATCGGCTTCTTCTCGAGATTAAGCCCATTTTCTATTCGTTTTCGGTATTTCAGGCAATTCGCACAAATCACATAACATGGGCCACGCTCATGCCAGCTGTCAGCGTGTGTACGTGTTTTCGACCTTCTAGTTCGATTTCATAGATAATAACCTGTAAAATACCCACATAGTAGGACTATTTTTTTAAATATAGGTAATATTACAATTAAGGGCAAGATTTTGGTCCTTAAGCATGAAAGCGTGAAACAAATCCCGAATGCGTAAGAGTCAAGTTGGTCAGCACAGGGGCTGATCCAGAGATGTCCAAATGTTGGTTGGGGGGGGGGCGGGTCGCCCCTGCAGCATCATCATTATTATAATAATCATCATCTCCACCATTACCATGATGCAATCATGACTATAATTAGGAAACTAGGAAATAAAGTCTGAATTTGGCCATACTGTATATGGGCCATATTGGACCAATGTCGGTGCACTATTGAAATTTGGCATTTTTCAGGCAAGAAACAGCAGACTCCACGATTCAGCCGACACATTAGCTACCACCAGTTTAGCTGACTCAAGCTAAGCTGCATTCTAAAACATAGGCCTATCGTCTGTATGTGACAGAATCTAGCAAAAACATTAACTGCTTATCCATATGGTCGACCTTTCCGGAGTGTCAAACAATTGACCAATCAGACCAGGAACACGCACGCGTCTCACAAAGTATTGTCCCACACAAACGCACGTGTTTGCGTACCGTATTAAGCTTCAAAATAGAAACTCAATGGGCTTAACCTCAACAGCGGCGTAGAAAAGTTTTTTTCATTGGGGGGGGGGGATGATTGGCGTATTAGCCAGTGTCGTAACAGGCGCGAAGGGGGGGAAGGGGGAAAACTTCCCCTCAGTGTCGTAACAGGCGCGAAGGGGGTGGGGGAAGGGGGAAAACTTCCCCTCCCCTGACGATTTTTACCGGGCTGACCAAGCCGTCGTACCGGGCTGGGTAATAAGAGAAAAGAAAGAGAGGAGAGGGAGGGAAAGAGAAAGAAGAAAAAAGGAAAAGGAAAGAAAAAGAAAAGAGAAAAATAAAGACAAAAAAGGAAGATATCATAATGACCAGACTCACAACACCCTGCAACCCTTCTCCACTTCAAAAACTGTCATAACTCCTTTGATCTATGCTGCCCGATGGCTTAACCACTGGGGGACAAGGGGAAAATATCTATCTTTGAAAAATATTCCCCACCCCTTTATAAATTCCCTTTTCATCCCCTGAAAGTGCCTAAAAAACCTCCAATTTCGCGTATTTCTTGTTAGCATGGGTCAATTTCCTCTAACAATTGCACATTTTAGGGAGTTTTGTTCAATTCCAACTAAATTAGAATTAAAATCACCGGGGGACAAGGAAAAAATATCCATCTTTGGAAAATCTTTCCCCACCACTTGACAAATGCATCCTCTGAAAGTGCCTAAATTCTTAAATTCTTTGCTCGCATTTCTTGTTACGGTAGGCCAATTTCCTCTATAAATTGCACATTTTAGGGAGTTTTCATCAATTTCGACGAAATTAGAATTAAAAACACAAAAATATTTTTTAGGGCTTTTTTAGGTTTATCCTTTTAAGTTATTTAAACACATAAGCCTATAGTAATAGTCCCAAACTCAAGAAAGACAAATTTAAGATAGATCGTTTTAACCAAAAAGAAGGGCCTCAATATGTATTGATGGT